AGGGTATAGACCCTACCGTCTGCACCCTAATAGAATGCCCGGTCATTATCGCTGCATCTAGACAGAAAACTGCCCCAGATACGGGTGAGCCTGAAAAGATGCTGAACCCAGTCCCCAATCCTACCCAACATAGACCCCGAAAACACTGTGAACCCAATCCCCAATCCTACTCTTGCTTTAACAGAGGTGGTAGCTAAAAGGAAAATAGAGAAACCCATAACGTGCATTTCGACCGTATATATAATGGTAATGGTTGGGCCCCACTCAAATCCATATATGGGATTATTGTACTATGAAAGGAGCATATAAAGCCTCACACCTAAAAATAGCTGGTGGCAGATGGGATGAGGGAAAGATGGAGCAAAGACACCCTGGCAGACAAACAACTCCTACATTGGACTGGCATGCTCCTATCCTATAATAATGCCCAAGTTCGCGCCAACCAACCTCAAGTCCTTGCAGTTGCAAATCATTCACAGATCCCTTCACACACCGGATTGGCCAGTCACTAGGACAGATCTAGAACAAAAGGCTTGCTATTACCAGTATGTAAGCTAATACTTCATGTATAAAAAAAATAAAAAATAAATTAAAAAAAGAGCTAATACGTCATGTCATCTAGCAAAGCCAGGGCCACACTGGAACACTGTCTGCAGGGATGTTCCATGGTAGATAAAATCTGGCAATGGTGGGATGGGAGGCAGGCTGCTTTTTGTCGATAGGCTCACGCGTCCATCGGGACCTTGGGTTGCTGCTGATGGGGGTATGAGCAACACCTGATAAGGCAGTGGAAAGTTGGAAACCATGCCCAACGAACCTCTTATATCCTTCTCCAGAGTAAACAATGCTGGCAGGCACCTTCTAGACATTCATCCTGTTACTGGTCTATGGTTCATGTTGTACTTCATCATAAAAGGGACGCTGGACCCGTTTTCCAGGAGCTCGTGATGTCTGAGCACAACAGCATCACTAGCACTGTAGGGACTGTGTTAAAAAAAAAAAACAAAAAAAAAACCTCTTATATCTTATAATTGCCTACAAATCCACATCATGATCCTTGTATGGAGGGTAAGGTGCTCATTCGAAAGGAAACAGCTCAAGTTGACTTGTGACAAGCACAAAGAAGAAATCGAAGAGGCGATGAGAATTCACATGCTGGAAACAACCTGAGGTGGAAAAAAAAAAGCATAGCACACACTATAAGCACAAATGAAAAAGAATCTCAAGCAAAGGCAAACATGGTGAGGATCTATGGCTTGACCCAAACTGGAACATCCGATACAAACAGGCTCTACTAAGCCCTAGCAGGAGCAGAGCAGGTGAAGGAAGATGACCGACCTTCAGACCACTAGCACCTTTCCCATATATTGGCCGTGGTTCCCTCGCCACGCCTTTCGGAGAGTGGAAACGATCGTCTGCCAAGGAGAGTTTTCAACTGTGGCTGGGCCCCGAAAGTTGTGGTGGTATACGGATGCATATTTGTTTTCAGGCGGGGAAAGGTACTGGAAGGTATTGGCAGTTGGAGAGTGGAAATGATCGTCTGCCAAGGAGAGTTTTCAACTGTGGCCGGGCCCCGAAAGTTGTGGTGGTATACGGACGCATATTTGTTTTCAGGCGGGGAAAGGTACTGGAAGGTATTGGCAGTTGAAACCACGAGTACCTTTCCGTATATCGGCCGCAGGCTGTTTCGGAGGCCCGAAATGAAAAATGGGCTGCCGATGAAATTTTCCATAGGCGGCCATAGGCGGCCCTCTCCTGCTTGGGTTCCGATTATTTCAGTGCAACTTTTATTGTCAAGCGGGGAAGGGTACTGGTGATTTTTTTTTTTTTTTGAACGATGCTCCAATATATTCGTGGGAAGCAACATGGCTGGGAACCGGGCCCATTGTCCCTTATGGAGATACATAAATTTGAGATTACAAAAGTTTGAAAGCTCAATATAAACTGCGAGCCAAAAATAAATAATAAATAAAAATAAAATTGCGAGCCCCAAGGGACGGCATACTGGAGGCCAAGAAACAAGGTATTAGAAGACTTAGCCTATTTACCATCTAAATCTAAGCGTGTAAAGTATGTAAAGGGTCACTGGACCCATTTTCTAGCAGGTGCAGATCCCCGCCACTAGAATGGAGCCGTCTATGGGGCTCCTTACACACTCCTTGGGGCGTCCTCGGGGCTGAAGGAAGTTTCCTGGGGTTTCTGAAGGAAATTCCCGCTGTCGCTCCACCTATCCTTGGGGTGGTCTCCCAAGGATGATTCCTTTCGGCCACTGGCGGCCAGTTTCATAATATTGTAGTCAGCCGCGGGGGGGGCAATGCCTTGGTCCATTGGGTGATGTCCGTCGTGCTATGGTGTGGTCCAGCTGCCGAAGCCGGGAAATGTTGAAAGGTGCTGCTGACTGGAAAAAAAAAAAAACAAAAAAAAAAGAGCAATGGACCTCGCCCTTCGGAAATCAAATTTCAAATTGGGTACTGGACGTCACTACGGCGATGCGGGGCAGGAGGCATCCTTATCTGCAACGGTGGAACGAGCATTTGCAGCGTCACAATAGTCCTCGTACGTCATCACGAATTTATGAGTGCCCCGCGAAGGTCCATCACCATCGCCTCTGCATGCCGCCTTGCCCATGTGTTGAGTTGAGCACACGCGGGGAACGTCGTCAGGGACTTGGCGCTGAGGTTACCGTGGTTGTGGCGAGTTGGTAGGCTGTTGTATTTCCGTGGTTCATGAGCATTGCACCACACGTGCCGATGGAGGGCGGCAATGACGACGGACGTGCGAAGTTGACGACGATCAAGAAGACGGCCGTGACGGCCGTGCTCTTTCGTTGTCAGCAGGAGAGGGCATTGGACAGAATGAGAGCGCAGATCCTCGTGCGCGGAGGAGGAAGATGCTTCATCAAGTCCTGGTCGAAGGGATAGATACCGTGGCCATTACCGAGGCTGCAGTTCAGGTTTGCTGCGCCTTGGGTTCCAGTGTGCTTCCACAAGCGACGCGGAGGTGGTGGATGAAAAGGAGGACGGTGGGGGCGTGGGGGGATCTCAGGCAATGCGATGATGCACCAGAGGAGTGCTTCTGGGAGAAGCTGCGTATGTCGCCACTTGTTTTTTGGGCGTTGGCGATTGCATGCAGTGTGGACGAACGTCCGCGGGATGCACTGCCGATGTCGATGTCGACTGCAGTCTGTGTCTATCCCTCGTCTTCTCTGCTGGAGGCCTTCGATAGAGGTCGGCCATCAATGATAGAGGAAGCACACGTGGAATAGGAGGACCACGGCAAGCAAAATTGTGACTAGGAGCAGCAGTGGCAAACTTCAATAAAGGTTGGCCATCAACAACATGTGCGACAGGGCTGTAATTCTGCGGCGATAGTGACGGTCCACCGAACGGGGACGATGAAGGGAGCAGACAGTAGAGGACAGCATATGACACACGCACTAACGGGTCGTATGCCCTTGGACTGCAAGCCGCGCCGTGGCCTGTGCAGTGGCTTCTGGAGTGTTCCACTGGAGACCTGCTCTTCGCCTGCCGCCCGTCCATCCTGACGCCCTTGTTCGCAGAATGCCTCTTACGTGTACGTCCAGGCACCCTGTCGAGGATGTAGACGTGGAAGAAGACAACAAGGACAAGCAAATGGATGACCAGGAGCAGCAGCGGCAGCGGTCGAAAGACGTTGGCCATGAAAGGCAAGCAGGGAAGGGCAGTAGCTAGACGACGATGGTACACCTCCAGCAAAAGGCAAGGAAGAGAGCTGCAAACGGCAAACCGCAGCATGAGACAAACGCCTTGTAACATTTTTCATCGCGGCATACAGCGAGCAATCGGAGCAAGGGGGGTTGGCCGAAGTATTCAAATTTGCCGACCGTTTGAACCCTTTCCGTTTGGCAGCATGCACTACGAGGAGGAACGGTGGTCGACGACATCCGTGGGGGCCGGCCGGCCACCAATGGTTACCGTTGGTGTAAGGTTTCTGGAGCCGAACGTTGAAGACCCAAGAAGTCCGTGCGCTGCCTGGTAGGAACTCCAATTGACCAGCCGACGAAAATTTCGCCGCTCCGATTATTGCGGATCCTTGAACTCCAAGGGACCTCCCTTGGGGAATGACACCAAATGGCTGTAGCCCAAGGATGCCACGAGGATTCCCCAAGGAAATGTTTTCACATTTGTTTTTCGTTTTCATCCCCGAGGATAGGTGGAAAAAACTTTTCCTCGGGGGATTTACGCGCTCGAGGACTGTCTAACAAGCCCCTATGTCCCGTTAGCACCCACAGTACCTCCACCATTAACGTGCTCAGAGAAAAAGAGAAATGTAACAGAACCCTTTGTATGACAAACAGAAAGAGAGGACCCTCATCCCCCACTTGAAGAACGTCCTAGAATGTCACTTGTTTTTCTCATCCTTGTCCTCTTAATTTTCTTCTCGCAATTTCGTATCTTTATTCGAACCTTTTTTTATATATAATTAAATATCACCCGTGACACCTGGCCCTACCACGCATAGGAATTAACCATCTAAGCGCTTGCACTAACAACGAAGAGGTTATTGCCCAAGTCTAAGCTCCTACGCCAGCAATGAGGACGCTATTACCCGAGTGTAAGGTTGTGCAAAAATGACACCCATCCTCCTCCCAAGAGTAGGATCCCTATGACTCCAAAAAAAAAGAAAAAGAAAAAGAAAAAAAACATCCTGCCCCAGAGGCTATTACCAGTGACAATCGCCTGCCTTCAGTCGAACAACCCCCATAACTATGCAGC